AATGTGGGACCCGTCCAAAGAGGACGTATATGGCCCTTCAGAGGCATGTGCGGGCTTTGAAATCGACGCCAGGGGCCAATAGCCCTGCCCTCTGAGATGCTTGTATCTCTTCTCATGTTGAGGGGCGAAAAGAACCGGCTGCGCATCCCTCTTGATTAATAACCCGCCCATTCGAATTGGAAAATCTTTTTCATATGGGGGGTGTATCAATCTAGAGTCTACATTATTCCTTCGATCTCCAACAACCAGGGCAACATCTTTGCAATGTTGAACTTCCCTCCACCAAGGAGGCTGCCAATTGGCTCCTTCACATGTGAAGAGGGATTACGACACCTGGACGGATGAACTTACTCATTCCAACCCTACAGGCTTCACACCCCTCAAAGAGGCTCAAGGTTTCGAAGGCCAAGCTCACGCACTCGGCGCTCGAGCTCTGCTTTCAACCGCTGCCCCCTTGGGCTGGGCATGGGGGCTCCTCAGCGCTTCCGACATTCCGGGACAGGCAGGCCCCTTCGGCCCTCAAATCCATCCTGGGCTATGGGACTTTCCACCATGGCTTGAATCTACGACGCTGTGGACAGGCGCTGCTGCGGAGCTGCGCTGCTTCTGCACTTTGTGACCTACCTCTGAGAAGCTTCCCTGCGAAATCATGGACCGTTCTCAGGGTGCCCGGTGTCCGACTTCTCTTTCGGTTTCACACAGGACTAGGTTGGGTGGCGTTTCAGGGTACCATCCCAGTCCTGTTTTCTTTCACCAAAGATTTCAACCCAAGAGAACCTAACCAACCAGCAACAGACTGCGAGTGTGCGCTTTGCTGTTGGATGCTTAAGGAAACACACAAGCTTTCAACATGCAGTATCAACTGTTAAAAAAATATATACATACACAGTATGGACTCGCGCACTTTTGGAAGTCTTGTCACCTGATGTTCACACCAAAGTTGCCCAGGTGTCGCGCAAAACCCAATTTCACTTCAGGAGGACCAGGAGGCGCTTAGGATTAGAGTTTGAAGAAATCAGAAAACATCTTTTCTCCTGCCCCTGCTACTTTCAAAGGCACGCTATCGAAAACTTGAGTTGTGTAGGAGTTTTCAAGGGTTTTTCCCAAAGGCTTTACACTGCTTGTCGCAGCAAGGCCAGAAATCGACAAGAGTCACAAGCAGCGAGAGATCTCAACCAGAAGCTATGCTCTCAGTAGTACTCTGACATCAATGAGAGAGGGCTCTTGTGATCGATTCATAGAGTTCTCCTGATTGATTAATATTGTTTTCTTGTGAATTGAAGTGGCAGGTATGAGTTGTTCGTCAAGGAGACAGAAACTATGGTTCAGAAGACGAAGGCCATCCTTTCTTGGCAACCGTTGCAAACATCAATACATGTGTAGGTCAACAGGACAATTGTAAAATGCAGGCAGAAGTCTCCCTACTGGCACAGGCAGCCATGCAGAGCCGAAGACGAAGTTCTGCTTACGTGGTGGCCCAAAGCATCAGCCTCAGCAACATTTTTTGAGTTCGCAAGGACCAGCTTCGATGGCCACTGAATAAGATCTTTCTTTTTTCTGCGACAGAACTGCATGTATAGCAAGTCCAATTGGTACTCACCTGTTTTGTGGCTGCTGCGTGACCATGGGCACCAGAACTGCAAGTCACACCATGAGGACTATGGGGGCCAACTGCGACTAGGTGTAGGCAACATGAAATCAAAAAGCTTTCTTCCACGTTGCCACGGCCCACCAAAGGCCACCAATGGTGTCGAAACAAGAACCTCATTGGCTGGCACATTTATTTTCACCGTTCCTTTGCAACTAGATATATGGGGTTGAACACCAGACATGGTTCTGTTGATCATGCCTGACAGTCCGACATGTTCACCTAGTGATTGTAGGAGTCCACATATCATGCTGTACTTTGAAACAAAACAGTAAATGCTTCTTCATGCTAATTGCAGATAGAGTCTTGAAAATAGGACAGATCGCAGCAAACGCACAGCTGCAGCAACCACCATGGAAACCAAGAAATCGGATGATGAGAACGGTTTGGCAAACAGTTCAAGTCTTTTCCGGACATGCAACTGGTCTAGGCTGTGTAGCTCCTTTGCTCCTTGCACATTGCTAGTGCTTGTTCTGGCAGTTTTCTTTGGTCCATTGGTCTGAGCTCGTGATGATATGCATCGGAATGTGATTGGGAGCGGCTCAGCTCGAACGAGTAAAATCGTCGATGTGGTGATCAGCAGCCAGTCGCGAGCCAACGCTTATCAACATGCAGGAGTCTCCTTCCTCGCATTTGGGTTGGAGGCCGTCGCTCTTAGGAGGAGGCCATTCCTCTTAGGTTGGAGGCCATTGCTAGTAGTAACTCAAAGTCGTATTGTTTTTTGAACTTCCTTAATGGACTAATGGACGCTCCGTCCTCTTTTTCACTCCTTCCGATTTTTGATGTCGTGCTGTTTGCGGTCTGGTGGAAGTGGAGTCAGGCACATGCATTTTGGAGACAGGGGCCAGCATGCACCTAACAACATGATGCAAAGCTACTAATGATTGAGGTAGAGAATACGGCACACTTCGTAGCCTTCTCACCACGTTGAATGTCGATATCAATCTGGTGAATTTGAAGTCTATGCAATCGCCATGGGTACCCGATCTTATCCTAGCTGGCCACCTGGCTGGTGCACTGAATCCGAGAAGACAACGTGGAGTGGGCGACAGCAACAAAGTCCATGCAGAGACAAATAGACAAAGGATGAGAGACAGGAATGGGCACACCAACCACACCAACCAGCCAATTGGCCCCGATGACAGACAGAGCAGACAAGCACTCCTAAAGACCCAACCTCAATTTGGCACGGACCAGGACCCAGAACCTTGATTTGGGCAGTATGCAAAATAGACAAGGTCGAGGCAGCAAAGCCCCAATACCGAAATAGTTGAACATGAACCTGAACATGAACATCAAATGCCAACAGGCTTGTGTGCACTGGTTGTTGACATTCAGGGATGGTCCACAAGCCCTTGTATTGGTGATGAGCGTTTTTGACCTATTCAGCTGGTGTTGCAGGAGTCCACACATGCCTGTACTGCAAAAAGAAGCATGTGAATTGACTGCTACATCAACCGCCATGGAAGCCTAGGAATGGGATGGAAAACTGGCCAACACTTCAAACACACTATAAGACATTCTGGGACATTCTGTTGGGAAAAGTCCTGACACACCCACTTTCACAGCCAGTGCTGAGGGTCTTCGTAGATGACACTTCTGATAAGTTTGCCCGAGCTCAAGGACTGGATCGACAGACAAAGATCCCGAATTTGGTGCATTCATTTTCATGCTTTGGCACACACGCGCGTGCGCGCTCCATTGACTGCGACTTGAAGTTGCCACCAGGTAAAGTAAAACGTACCCACTCATGAACATGTGTGAGACAGCATGCGAGATCATCAACCCCTTCAAACTTGCGCAGCCTGAGCCTGCGTTTCAGAGCTGTTCGCAGTTAACCCTTGTACTTTGCAGTGACAGCTTCCTGGAGAGATTCTCTTGAGGTGTCGAGCACGTAAGACCCCTTTTTGAGGTGGGCCAGCTGGGCGAGAGCAGCTTCTTGGATCACACTTGTGCAGTCCACTTTGTCGTCTCGCAAACGTAGGTGGCATGTTGGCCTTATTTGGCCACTTTGGCAGTTCTTCTAGAAATGCAGGCCCGAATCCGATCGACTGTGTATTTTTTGAATGTGTCTGACCTGTTCGTAACCAGCAAGTTGCAAGCCGAAGTGTGGGGACATGCAGTCCAGAATCAAGGAAGATGTTGACAACATCGAACTGGACTGACTGTCAGCTTTGGAGCACAACGTTTGTTATTGTATATTTCGCTTGTAAACAGAATGTTTTTGACCAAGAGAGCGTGGGTAAGATAGTTGCCGGCTCCGAGTTGATGACGGCACACAAATGCAGCATGAAATGATGTCAAACGCTGCTGCTCATGACCAATGATGGAAGGACTCACCACAAAGCATCGAGCTTTGCATCGAAGGTTTCAAGCATTGCATCAGGCCAAGATCTGAGTCTTCTGTAGACAGCCTTTGCAGCGAGAAGAAAGCATCAATGCTTTCATGGCGGCTTGATGGCGACTTCATGGTTTCAGGATCGCAGCTCGATTCGATATGGACACCGAGCGCGATGCCTTTGTTTCATCCCTGGCCAAGTTCACATACTTGACAACCATCAAGGAGTCAATAGCACGGGCGTCATAGGTGAGGGTCGACTTGGTTTGGACGGCGAATTGGCAGGAAATGAAGCAAAAGAACATTGAATGCATCAAGGTGCGGCTTTTTCTTTTCTTACGGGTATTCAATGAAAGCAATATGGAACAAGTGGGACACTGGTCCACCTTCATCCGGTCTGGCGGACGTCCATTCGCTGGCATGTCAAATATTCAAAAAAAAGAGAAGAAGGGTCCCAAAAATCTAGGAACCAACCAATCATGCAAAGAGTTCAGAAGAATCATGAGCTTTGCTGTGTCAAATCCTAAATATGTAACTTCCTGTCGCCGTTAGCTCCTTAAGTTAAGCTACTTAAGCTACCTGACCCAAGCTCGCCTCCCTGCCCCTTTTTTTCACCAGTCTAATGCTTTTCGGCCAATTGAATGAATCTCTTGCAGGCTTTGTTATCGATTGGGCTGTCTGAGGGCAACAACTTAGGACCGTCTTGGTTGTACGCTGAAGGCTCAGCACATATGGTGGATATATTTTGTTTGCATTTCCAGCGCCTGTTCACCTGTTCTATTGAGAAAATGCTCAGGTGCTGCACTGTATTTCTCAGCTTGAGCGGCTACAACTCATTGGCACCAGAGGTGCCAGGTGCCAGGGCACTGTTTTCATTTGCATCAATCGTGTTATGATGCATGATTGACATCGAACAGGCAAGACTTTCAGTTCTTTCAGATGGAGGACGAAGTGCAGATCTCAAAGTTGAGGAAGTCAATTCAGATTCCAGATTTGAAGAAGTCAACTTCAGAAATGTTTGGGGTGACCTTCCCTACTTTTATCTACAGACCGAGTTGTGAGGCTTTGTCTCCAGGATCGGCAACCAGGCCACTCAAGCAAATCTGACTCGACCTTGGGAGTTAGTTGAAAGAGCTGGGAGGTCCAATGCGAGCATTGCTGGTCACCAGGCTGGTCATGAAGCGAGGTTCAACGACTCATTGTTTTGCCAATTTCACGAACCTTCTTGACTCAATTCATGTGACAAGGTGGTGAAGCGCCGCGCTCACGGCCTGGGTGTGTTTGCAGCTCAGCACAGGACTTGTTGCTGCCTTTTCTTTCTTGAACGTATCACGAGCTCCTATGCTGCAAGGAAGTTCGGCACTAGGCAACTTTTCAGATACACCCGATGGTATCATGAAAGGTCCGCTTTGGTGGCCATTGGCCAGGATGATCGACAAGTAGAACTGGCAGCGACCCAAAGTTGGTTTATTTCTGCTGTCACTTCGCGTATATAGGCTCTTCAAATTTGCTGAGGTGAACTCTGAGTCAGTGGCTTCTCAGATAGATGCGGCCCAAATTGAGTTGCTTTTCAACAAGCCGCTGCCTAAGCTGGGAAAGAACGAAAGGCAGGAAAAATACAGGTCAAAGGGAAAAGACAAATGAAAACACAAACAAGATTCAGAAAGAGAAAAAGGATTTGTCACCATCAGTATACTCCAGGCAAAAACCTCATAGAGGTGACCGATGTTCTGCCATTCAAACAAACCTGCAAAATAAAGGAGGCCTGACGCCTGCAACTATGAAGTGCGATTGGCCCATGTTACTGTAATTGCCCGCGAGCCAATTGCCAGTCATCACTAGCAGGTCGATGCAGCTTCAATTCAATCTGTGAAAACCACAAGGTAAAGGCTTGCACAAAACTCAAGGCTCAAGAGTGTCATAAGGTGCTTGAGAAATACAAGAGGCTGAGATATTAACACGGCTGAAGATTTGCCGTCGCCCTCGAGGAGACCGGCTGGTTTCCAGTGGAGTGATTAGACGAATAAAAGCAGGTGCCGATCATGCAGTGGGGTCTCAGGAGGCCATCGCTAGTAGGTTGGAGGCCATCGCTATTAGGTGCTAAAGCTGACCTGTGACTCCAAGGATTTCACACACTCAAGATGAAGTACGTACGGTCTGACTTCCCAAAATGCAGCGGTGTCCAAACAAGGAATCAAGTTCCAAAAACAGGTCCGTGAGTTGAAAACTCACCAGCAAAGCTCACATGCCAATTCTGCATGCTCAATGGCAAGTCCGAAGTCTCACCTAAACAAATTTGGTCACTTAGAGGAAAATGTTGCTAGCAAACATCACAACCAACTCGTTAAATGCAGGTGCAAGAGTTGGTGCCCGATTATCATCCAACTGATTCACTTTCGTTGGCACGGATAGGGAATCAGTCTCCGTGCCGTGCTGAATCTAACAGAACCCGAAGCTACCCATGAGCCCAAGAAGTGCACTCACACACATGCTCACCCTTGCGGAAATTGGTCTAGCATTCTTTTTATTTTGCCTGTTGTGAGCTGGAAGGTCAACTCAGCTCACACCACAAGCTGTGGTACATTTCGTGACTCAATTGGCAAAGGCAGGCTGTGTAGCAGTAGCAGTCTGCAGAGCTTGTGCTTTCATACAACGCCAGGTCTCCAAAGAAGAGCTTGCACTAGCGGATCAGCCACGAATCTTTTCTCTACAAAAACTAGTTGAGGTGGAACAGAGAAAACAATGGTTGTTTCAGAACTCTGACCGTAGCCGAATGTGCACAGTGTCTCAATGGTGTTCACAGGTCGCTGACTTCAACATGAGCCGGATGAGAGTTGTATGGACGAAGATTTGGCGAGTACTCAGCAGCCACTTTGTTGAGGCTGGGCTTTGCAGAACACTTCATGAGCAAAATGGCCTTCCATAACCTCAATGGCCCTTCAAGTTTGCATCAGGTGGCGACTCACCCGAACGTCCGGGTTTCCCACTACGCAACTTAGCTGATGCAATTTGCAATTTTTGAAAGCTTGGAGCACGCTCCACAAGTGGGTAACTCTTCAACATGTCGAGGCCATGGATTCATTGCGACAGCTTACCATGAAGTTTCTGGAGAAAGACGAGTTAGCTGGATACAACTTTCAGGCAGCTCCTACGCTCCTCCGCATATGACAAAGGTAGCTGCGGCATTGAGATACGAAGTAAAATAGAACAGACACCGCAGTCAAGCAGGGCACATTGCAATTTCTTGGTAGAATCCATAAGCAACAAGAAGCTGCTAGTTCGGTTAATGTACATCCTTATACAATATATATATATATATATTATCTCACGAAAAGCCAGCCGATGGGCATGGCTGAGTCCGAACGAAGTCAGCAATACCGGCAGTCGCAGGGCGGCGAGGATCCAAAAGGTAGTGAAAATGTATGTTTTGGGAGGTCTTGGTGATGCGAGTGATGCAAATGACACTGAATAGTGCATCATTAGCATCACGAAGCTCAGAAGAAGGGTGGGAGTCGGGTAGAGGACAGGAGAGGGGAGACTGCGATGAAATGCAACAAACGAGGGCTGACCAGATGTGTGAGTGCAGGGAGGGAGTTGCTTCGGGGTGCCCTTTTGACCGTGAAGAGGCCCCCCCCACTGTTGATGTTGGACCTTTGTAGAAGAGCACGGGGCCCAACTCTACCCCATGACCTGTAACAGTGCGAGTTGATCATGGCCTTGTGTATATAGGCTCTATCATACCGAGCCTCAATGCAGCACTTTCCGTCTCTCTGCCTTCTACTTTCCCGTGGCTAGCAACAGCAGAGGTAAGCGCAATTTGTGCTTCACCCCGTAAAGACAAGAATATTTTATTACAGGGGCTGGCTTTCGCCCCCTCTCTTCTCAGGTGTAGATTAGCCTGGCAATTTTTTCATGTCCTCTTTGTCACTCAGCAGTTTTGACAGCCGTTCGTTTAGGAAGCAGAAGGCGGAATCACAAGTGGACAGCCAAGTTGTTAAAACTCACAGCACAAAAAAAGGGTCAAACACAGTTCACAGCTTTCAATTTGGGTTCTCAAAAGGTGCTGCAGTGGCTTTGTTGCCACTTGCCTGTGGGAAACGCTGTGTCACCTGGGCTTATTTGTATGAGCATGGCTGCAGCATGCTACCTTTTGGCAACGTTCTTTCAGAGCAGCTTGGCGGTGGCCATTTGGCTTTTGGCATCGCTGTGTCCTGGACTTGCTGACTTGGAGAAATACCTAGAGCGGTTGCGGTGAACCTGTACAAGCACAGCAGATTCTTGAATGGAATTGCTTGAGGTCCACGCCGGCATGAGTTTGTCCAAGGGTCAATACAATGAATTCGTCCTTGTGAACTCTGTGAAAACTGAAGCCACAACAACCCGCACGTTTCTTGAACGTCTTGATCTCCTCAAACTTGTGTCGCAATGAAAAAACAGTCTCTGGCCCCAGGGTAGGTATGCAACATCAACGAGTAGGCAAAGTGCGCTTCTCAAGTGTGTGCCTTTCAGGTGCTGTCAGAGTGGATGTTGCAGTTTGTGATCTTGATTTGTGATTTTGTAATTTTAGGGTTCAGTGCAATTGTTTGCAAGGAATGGTTGAAGATGTGTTCGCGCGCTTTGTTGTATGTGAGTTGGCGAACAGATGGAAAGAAAGTCATGTGGTTGTCGACATAACATAACTTGTGTTGGTGCCGCTATTCAACAAAACAGGGGGTGATGCTTGGCGCAATAGAGCTGTCTCTCATTCAAGCACTCTTTGCACACCGCAAGACTTGATAGTCGAAGTTGAAACACATCGAGGGCATGCTTCATGCAGAACTTGTTGGTTGATTTGGGGAGGGTGCGAAGCAATCCTTTATATATAAATATAAAGCCATAAAGCTGTTTGGGCAGCCAGAAAGGATAGCACACTCTTAAGTTCCCTTAAAAATCTAGGAACCAATTGAATAGTGCGAGCGCTTCTTCAAGGAAGCTTCCCCCAAAGGCGGCCGGGGGGAGCTTCTTTAAACAAGAAGTGCGAGCTATCCTGCGTCCTAGGTAGTAGCGTTCTTGTAGCTACTAACTACCTATCTACTACCTGAGATCCATGTTCCTTCTTGAGGTTCCCTGTGTTGGGTCCACGGGTGGGATTTGAGTTTTAGTGTCTCTACCGACAAGAGACACGACTTTGGAACGGTTGGATCAGGCTATCGAAAATTGTGAATCACATTTTTAAGAGGTGGTTTGTTATGGCATGTTGGTAAGAGTTGCTGACTCTGCTACACATGTTCTGCGTGGTGCACGCAAGCTTTCGTGCAAATCACCTTCAGCACAGGCTGAGTTCTTGAAACCGTTCGAATGCATCATGGTGCGCCTTAGAAGAAGTCGGATTCATTCAATACCAAAGCGCCATGAACGATGAGCACCTGAGTGGTGTTTAATCTAGGTCTAGATTTATTGAGCAATTCAGGTCGGCCCACCGCCAGTGAGCAGAGAGGTGAAGGACATTTCCTCAGACAACACAAGTATTGCAGATGTGGAAACTAGGTTTGTGTGAGGACTATTTGGTCTACATTATTTCGTACATGGCAGATGCCCGGAACTCACCAGATTTTTACAGCTGTCTGGCTGTCCATGATATGTTTCTGTCAGACTGCCGATGCAGGCAAGTTTTCAAAATATCCGGACCTGGCCTCGATGTCTTTGCAATGTGATCATTCTCTGAATTTCTTTGGGCTTTCAGGTCTGGATGGAAAGCAGTGCTTCACATTTGTGCAGCAGCTGCTCAAGATCCGGCACTCAGCGAGGCCCAGGTCCCCTTCATTTAGTTCGTTCGGTGAGTGTCAGATTTGCACAGGCCACGATTGAGATTGCCTTCAAAGTGGTCGAAAAGGTTCCATCTTTCGTGTGTCTTCGAAGGTTCGAACTGCTCAGTTTTTTGAGGTCAATGCAGACAGCTGCTACCACCTGTTTCTTGAGAATTTTACTGATGGAATCCGCGCTCTGCTATCATTCGCACAGTGCAAGGCCCTACACTCAGTGCAGTTTGATACTGAAAGTCTGCTGCCGTCAACAACACTTTACAATACTTTTTATCTCAAGTTGTACAAAAGGCTCATTTCACAGAAGGATATAGCTGCAATCATGACTGAAAAGCTGCAAGAACTGCTATTTCGTACGTCTCGCACACAGCAAGCTTGATGGAAGAGGGACTGAAATAGTGCAGCCTTTGAGAACCTGGGGCCCTCAGCCCTGTGAGTAAAAACTAGAGAGTCAAGCTTATGACGCTCCAAATTCAAAGTTTATGTGAAGCACTTTGTAATTGTTTTGAAACTTGAGACAAATTAGGTAGAGAAGCGGCCTGGCAAGGAGGCTGGAGTTCCTGACGGCGCGATGGGACAATTACTCGACTCCTTTCACTGGCATGAGGCGAAGCCAGAGATGTCAATGCAAGCGATTTCCTATTTGCTCAAGGTGCCTCGGGCTGCCTTGGATGTCCTTCTCGTCTCAAACAGATTTGAAGAAAGAAATGAATTCGATGCTGTATCACTTGCAAGACGGCTCAGCCTATGTTGCAGGCCGCAGAAAAACTTGCGGACCCGCAAACCGATCTTCCAGCAGGGTGCTCTTTATCACAGGCTCGGCAGATTCGAGAGTAAAGCATGTGCCAAGCTTTTGCACTTCAGGATCCTGCTATTAGTGATGGACAACCCGCGGCTGTTTGGTTGATGCCTGAGCAAGCTTTCGTCCTGACTTCACTGGAGTCAAATTGTCAATTGTGTTTGCCTTGAGGTTCCCCATTTTGCGAGGGCTCTCAATACTTGTTGGCGACCCTCGCCGCGATGCGGCATGCTGAGCTTCCAATAGCCACAATAACTGGATAGTTCAGAATGCCTTGTTCCTAGTTGATTTATGTTTTGTAGAGTCAGCTCAGGCTGACTTAATTTTGAGTGTTGAGCGGATGAGGTGAGAGCTGCGGCGCTCAATGGCGTTTTTGACATTCTCCGTGATTATGGCAAGCAGATTTTTGATGAGGAAGAGTGCACAAAGAGCACAACATGACAACATGTCCATGGCACAGGCTTCATTCAACAGGTTGTGCCTTCGCTGCGGCAATTTTACGGCACCCTTCAGGACATGTGGCGGATGGTATTCAACGGGGTGCCAAACCAAGCTCTTTGAGATGGCCGTGGATACACTGGGATAACTGGTGCTGATGTCATCAGGAGCAGTGTTTGCAGAGGTAACTGAGAACCAGGTTTTCATGCTTCCATTCTCTCAAGGTTTCCTACCTGCACAATTAGATGTTTGCAAAGGAGATGTTGGCCTCCATACGGGCTTAAACTTGATTTGCATGATAGCCTTTACGCTGAACAGATTGTACAAAACCAGTACTTCGAGGTCATCAAGCCCTTGTTCGATGACATTCACCACCAGCTGGCTCCACAGAGTGACCACAAGCAGGACCGTCTTCCAACTGTCTTAAGATTCTGCACTGCCACACCACTCTAAGACTCCAGGAGGGAAATGGTGCAGAGGCTTGGATGCAAAGGGCATGTGGGCTCTTTTGAAGAGCAGTACTGTAGTACCAGAGACGCGCAAGAAATAGATAGATAGACTCGACGTTTTTTCAGAAGTCACGGAAGGGTAGACCATGTAGACTGTAGGTTCTGCAAACTTTTGTGTTATCATCTTCAACATTGTCCATTTCATTAGGTTCAAAAGAACATCACTTGGAAGCACGAAACATGATGAAGCATCATGAAGCATGACAGCATGGCCGAATTGGTGAACACTTTGGCCAGGGCAGACAAGATGGCCATTGGGCCTCAATGGGGCCAAGCCTCCAAGCTTTGTGTGCGAGTGGTGTGTGACCGATTGTGCCGTTGACTTTGGCCCGGCTTGAATTCTTGAGGCCACCAACATGCTTAGCAGCTTTGACCCAGCTTGTCAGGCTGCACACTGTGTTTGTGGTTTGACAAAGCCCCGTTGCAGACAGTTTCCATTGTTTGCCCTTCAGGTTCTTCAATAAGCATTTGCTTGAGCTTTCTTCTCTCCTGTCTCAATGACCATCGTGGCCGCAGACCAATGCTTGACATTCTACCTGCATGTACCGGGCCGCTCGCCTTCTTGCCATTCTTTGGCATTAGCTCTAATATCTCGCATATCCATCGCCCAATTATTTTTCTCCCGCACTTCATCGGCCTAGTTTTCTCAAATTTGTTTGAGAGTTTGCGCTCAGCTCTTCATTTCTCAGTTCCATCATGACCATGGGCCAATTTGTCCTGTTGTGCTGTGTGACACGATTAGACACCGGTGCAGGTTGATTGAAGCTCACCTGGACGTTCTGGCCTTCCTACTTGATGATGTTGGGACCTGATCCAGCTCTTTGGCGTTCTTGTGGAATTTCGGAATACCGATATGAGGTGCTCCGGTTGATCAGAAACTGCATTCAGCACGAATTTGAGGCCGAGTTGTTTCAATCGAAGTGCCATGCTTTGCCTCTTTTGCTCCAGGCAGTTGCACGAATAGGTGTCGAAGGTTTCAAGCAGCTGCTGATATGCACTGGCAAGAACATGAAGCCGAATTCCTGGCAGAAGGCCGAACGCTGTCAATTCAAAGAGTGGTTATTGTAAAGTAAGTTGCCCCGCAAGGTCACGACATGTATTCTGGAGCTCTTCCGGGACAGCATGCCAACAAAGCTGATGGAGGTTGATGTGAAGGCCGCAAGCATTTCAGCAGATGCAAGGCGTCCAAATTTTGTGTCAACCCTGAGACCTGTGAAAGGCCTCGTCGCAACTGCCATTCAACAAAGATGATGTTGTGATCCAGCCCTGCACACAGTCACACTGAGCAGGTGCATTGTATCACTGAATCGAGTGAAACGCTTGAGGTGCGTGGTCCAACTCCTGCTTATCGACATGCTGCAAGATGCTGTCTCACAACATTACGAGTTGGACCCCTAGAGAGAGAGAGAGAGAGAGAGCACGCTCAGAACCTTTGAAGGACTCGTGCCCTGCGCCAGAATTTCATGGCTCCTGATATAGACCTTGAACAACTATATAAGCCTCAGAAGAGTTGAATTTTGCAGCTCTAGAACCTTCGCCAGTGACCGAGAAGAGAGGGTTTTGTTGGAACTGTAACTAACCAGTAACTTGAACCCTCCATACCTTTTCTAAGTTCAATCCTTTTCCTCAGGTTAGGGTCTTGTGATTCTATGTCAGTGTTCTCCTCCTCCTTCGTCCCTTTCTCCTTCTCTTCTCCTCGTCCCTTCCTCCTCATCGTGTCTGCTCCTCCGGTCTTTGACGTCACTGTGTCGTGCTGGAATCGATGTACACAAGAAGTTAAAGAGTACGTGAGAAGAGAACATGTCAGAACATGCAAAACTCAATGTCAGAATTTGTGCCCGAGCAAGTGTCAGCTAATTATGTGTCAGAACATATATATTTATATGTCTGAACAAATGCCAGAACACTTGCAGTTGATGTCAGAACAGATGCACGAGTAGAGGCCGGAACAACTGTCAGAACAAATGTCAGAACAGATGCAAGACTTGACGTCAAGACATATGCCAGAAAAAATGCCAGAGTACACATCAGAACAAACGTCAGATGACATGTCAGAATGTCAGAACATATGCACGACTTGATGCCAGAACACGTGTCAGTTCATTTGTCGTCGGTGAGTCGATGCGTCTCCTTCTATTGTTGAAAGCACCTCTTGGGGTGGGTCACTCTAAGTACAGGTCATTCTTAAAAGAGCCGGGTTTGTTCATGTAAGTTCGACCTTGAATCGAATGTGGCTGCCAGCAATCTTTTCAGGTTCTTCAGAACATGGACCCAGCCAGCCTTATCACACGTTCCCCAGCAGAATCCCTTTTCCGTTTAAGCATTTTGTTCTGTGTTGTGTTTCAGACATGAAAGCTTAAATATGCAGGACTCATACATTCATGGACTCTCATGCTGAGTTTGCTGCATTTATTTAGGCAGCAATCTACAGAAACCTGTTTGTTTCAGAAGTCAAACATGTTCTTTTCCTACGATATACTATTGTGAATCTACATGTTCAAACTGGAATCTATTTATATACAATGATCTATTCTTTAAGTAAATTCAATTCTTCTATGTATATATATATTTGTTTTGGGGCTTCTGCTCTACTTTTCGACTTGAACATTATTCGATTCTGTTTCCCAGTCTTCAGCTACCGGCAAACTGCTATATACTAGCACATCCACAACACAGTCTACACAAAGTAGGTTTTTATTTGTGAGATCCTTGGCCCTTGGTGCAGAACAGTAGGAACGCCTTGTGTAAGGAAAATTCCAGAAAGCGGAATTATGACTCTCCTCGATGCACTACAGCAGTCCTTTGAGTTTGCACAGGACAATCTTCCATTCTTCTCGAAACAGACGAGTGTTGAACTCTGAATGACTTCAAGGGCATTGAAGAAAATGCCTCCTTCTGGAGGAATTCAATCGGCAGATTGAGCTCCGTCAAGCCTTGAAAAGACTTGGCTTCATGAAAGAAGTGCCAAGCACTTGGTCTCGTTGTTGAAGACGGCCTGCTGTCCACTGCCGTGAATAGTAGACAAGTGAGACTCTTTGTGTGCCTGCAATTGCTAGGAAGCAACTGCCTGGGCTGTCCATCTGGCAAGCTTCCGCGAAGACAGGGCTTTCACAGCCAAATACAACAGATGTTTGTACATGCCGTTACATTTCTTACATTTTCAGACGCATGTGGTTGTGGGCAAGTCTTCTCGAGATGTGCATGCAAAATGAGATATCACTGCATTTGCGCCAGGCTAAAACAGGAGAGAGAGTCACTGAGCTGCTCCCTGAGAATTCTCTTTCAGGTGGGAGTGTTTGGCAAGGAGTTTGTCAGTCAAATTGTACAGAAGTTGTGGGAAGCAAGGGTGTTAGTAACTGTTAGTCCATTTTTGAACAAGGCAAGCCGAAGCTATTGCATTCTGTTTCTGAACTTTGAACTCGGTACACTGTACTGTAGTTGAAATTACACTATATAATTGAAAACTTGGAGCAGGAACCCCTCAAGCGGAGCACAAACTTGACACTGGCAGAAAATCTGAAGCCATGCAAGAACGTCACACGAATATAACGGTTTTCTTTGCTTTGCGTCGCGTAAGTCTCAAGTTTCAAAGTAAACAGTAAACGAGCAGAACGGTGCAGGTGCAGGCTGACCCAAGAATGAGTGGCAGTGAGTTTTCATCCCGTGCCGTGGATCGTGCTGCCGGCTTGCATTTGCTTGAATTTGCTATAAGTCTTTGGTTGAAGGGAAGGACTCATTGTTACAGGTTCCATGGCTTCTTCACAAGAAGCTACATTGCATAAGTATCCAAAGTCTGGAGACTAAAGCAAGCTTTGAGAGGAAGTTCAGATGCAAACTCTTCGGCTAAGCTGGAGATTTGACGCAAGGCCTTCTCAGACTCTGCAGCTCCGTGCTACAAAACTATGTAAACAAGGCGGAGCCGACTAGTCAAATGAGTGGACGAGTCGAATTGTGTGCAGTGCTCAAACCGTGGAGAAACAAACAAGGCGAAACAAAAACTGTTTGATTTGAGGAGCGGATTCTGCAGCGTTCCGAGGCGTAAGGACCTCAAGAATCCCACGCCAGACAGACTTGAAACGCAAGGAGACAGACTCGATCAATTCTCCAAAGACCTTCATGTTTTTTCTTGTTTTCCCTTTTCCTTGTGTCTGGCAGTCTTCTCAGGCCAGAATCTGCAGAGACCCTCAAGGACAAGGAGGCACACGTCGTGATGTGGCAGTTTTGCAGATTTGCTGCGATTGACCACCTAACCCAGATTCTCAGGGTGTTGACATGTGCATGGAGAGTTCAATCCGCAACATCAGATGCAGGAATTTGGAATAGTTATCACCTGTCAAGCCTTCCATTGACCATTCCCTCATTTTCCCATTTTGCTGTATGTACTTCCCACAAGTAAACAAGAGCCCCTTGTAGCATGTTGCGACAAGTAAACAACGCAGAAGCAGCTGCTCCGTAATTTCGACAAACCTTTGCATGCCGTCTGCCATATTGAGGATGACAGTTCGGTTTTCTTGCAGACTCTAATCAAGAAAGCAAAACAGTGATGATCTTTAGGAAAAGTAAGGCCTCATGTTCAGAAGGACTCTAGATTGGGAGGGGGCATGGAAGAAAACAATGAAGTGTGGAACAGCTAACACTTCTTCACCCCTGTTCTACATTGCAAGCTGTATAGCAAGGTCTTACTGTAATATTTTCTTCCCATTTCTTGCCCAGATGGCCCGGGGTTATGGCTACCTGCCTCTGTTGTCAAAAGTAGTCTACCACTTTGGGAGGCTTTACCAATGGCCTTTTTTGTCAACCACTTGCGTTGCCACTATCCACGTGATTTTGCTTTCTGTCACACTTTCACCGTCGAATTCAAAAAATATATACTGTAGAGTCCTTGCACCTTATCAAGCTCGCTACCTTTCCCTAAAGAAGTCCGGCAGCAGTTCATTCTAATTTTGTGATGCCAGTCACAACGCTGAGACCCATTTGCATTTTCAGCATCAGCAAAATTGCACGTGACCATGTCGGAGCGCAAACTAGGAAGGGGTGCCAGCACATTGAAGATTTATCCATATCCACTGGATAAAGTAGAAGACAAATTGAAATACAAGATAATTTACGCCCTTCACTACTTTTTGCACACCTGCAATTTTAATGTATACTGTAAGCAAGAAATACGATTGGTCGTGTTCAGCCAGCCACCCTCACATGTCGGTGTTGACTTTCCACTTTTTTCATGACTCAATGCATAGCAGTGACTAAATACGGCAGTTGGAGTCTTTGAGAGATCTGTGAAAAGATTTGAGGCAACGATCGTGGAGGTGGAACGTGAGGCACCAGCTGCGGGAACTGCAAACAACTTTGAACTAACAACTTTTAAACATGGTTTTCAGTCGGAGTGTGCTGTCAGGTAGTAGGGCTAAGTAGGGCTAGTAGGTCGCAAAGACGGACTTTTCGCAAGGACAACGACTTTCCTATGGTTTCTCCAATGTTTCCCTGAACCCCTGCCTCACCTTTGAGCTTTTGGATGCAGGTTCATGGATTGGTGCCTATCATCTCTGAAGTGAGAAGCTAAGTTTTTTGTGCTCATCGGATTTACTTGAACATGCGAAGCAGACGACCCCGACCCTGCCCGTGATTATGCAGAGATGCATCCAATCCTTTTTGTTCCACATGCATGGGCATCAGGCTTCCATTATCTCATGAGCATCGCGCACATTGAAGTGTTTAGATTGAAATCACCATATGTGTGCACCTTCAAGAAGTAGTCCCCCAAATTTAAAAGCCGAAATGGCTTAGTACTCCTGTGTGACTCGACAGAAGCAGCAAAAGCCTTTGAGGCACATGGTCTAGGACGAGTCCTAAAGCAGAAGAGTCATGCTGAGTGTGTGGACATTGTTTCTTCTAGCGTGCAGTTGTTCATCTTTTGCGGTTGTGGTATTGTTGGTTGTATTTTGTTCAGTTGTCGTTGTTATGTGAGTGAGGTCTTGGTGCAGAATGTCCTTGTGTCTCGTTCTCTTGCGCTTCGTCCAGTTTAAACGTTTTTGTCCATTCAATCTATTCCGCCTTTCTTAGGACAATACTGCAAACAAATTCCCATGCCACACTGTGCAAAAGTTGCTCCCTGCCTCCATGAATTCCGTCCAAGAAACTTTTGCTTGGCCAAAACATGTTTCAGAAGGTTTTATGAAGCAACGTTAGTGCAACCAATCGTAGTCAATGACCGACATCAAGACCCAATGGCAATGAAGAAGGTATTGCACCAGGACATTGATCGTCGATTCAGCAGTAGCACAGGTGAATGCATTGTAAGCACTAGGCAATACTAGGCAGTGCAGAAAAAGACATGGATCTATCGAGCTTTGACATGGGTCTTAGAACAAGACCGCTGCGTAACAACCGATTACTCTCGCAACGTTTGACTACTCTTGTCAGGTGGTGGCCAAGGGATTGAAAGACCTTCCGCCGAAGCTGTTTGAGCAGCGCACCTCCAAGATTTGCCGACTATTCTTGGAAGCTTCTGTTTGCAGCTAGTAGTAACGGCCTCCAACCTACTAGCTTCTGTTTGCAGAGATGTTGATTTCATGGCATACTGTACCTGACGCAAGGCACATCCACGTACTTTTTCCTCTCTTCTGTGACCTGACGATCGTAAGTTCTCGCGAGGCCATATGGGCATTTGTATATCCAGGTCTAAACTTGTTTGGAATTGACAGATACTTCGCCAAGCTGTGCAAGGTTCGCGCTCTGGTGCGAGACGTGCTTCTGGAGCAGGTAGCTCCCCTCCTCAAGCCAAGCCACAGACTGAGAAAGTCTTTAATCGCTTTCATTTGTTTCGAGTTGCAAGAAACAGAACAAGAGTGGACAACATGTTTATGCAGAACCCCGGACCATTCTGCGTTTTACATTTTTTTGCTTTTCAAGTGCTATCTGGCTTATAATATATATATATATACTGTAGTATGTAGTATAATGTCATATAATATATTACAATACAATATAATGTAATACACCATAACATAATATAACATAGTATACTACAATATAATATTATATGATATAATACAATATAATATAACATAATATATGATGATGAATGCCTAGAGTACCAACACCTTGCATGAGGTGCATTGCATTGTTAACAGAGTACATATACTTTACAGCATATCAATTATCTATACATATTCCATACTTGCATAGCAAGCAGCAGCCTCAACTGGCTTTTTCCGTTTGGGAGGTACAGCTAAGAATATGAGAGGGTCAAAGTGCTATGGAGTTCTGGATGGCCGATGAGGAGAGGTTCAAGGTCTCTTGAGGTCAACCCGGAAGGAAAAGGAGATAAAAAAGAAGGTAAGTGGATTTTTCCAATCGCATACCTTTTCTCCAAGTTTTCCAGATGAAGCTCGGTACCTTTTTGCTGCTGGTGGATTCGCTAAGCATCCATGGTCAGCAGCAGGTGCACATGAGATTGGTTTTGGTCTTGAAGTCAATGTGGGCAGTTTGTGGTAAGGTCCTTGAAGTCATCCAACATCATGAAACTCTGAGAGCTACTTTCCGTGTGAAGCCGTAGATCCATCATTTCGGCTTGTGAGACGACATGCTGCAACGTGACATGCTGATCCGTGCAAGCGTACAGAGCTTGCGAGTTGGATTGCCGTTCAATGCGGATCCTAGAGTGACCAACAACAACCAGCGGCGCAGTCGTGCAGTCTGTGTTGCTGGTTCTTCCAATCGGTTTCCAGCCGACAATGCACGAAGGCACTTGCCAGGTGGGCTTGGTCTGGCTTTCTCACTTGTAGACTTTGGAACACACAGAAAGTACATGAAAGTAATATGTTAAAGTCTGCCCACCAAGTTTTCTGGAACAATGGCAATGTCAAATTCGTCTCACTGGAGCAGGGCTGCGGTCGCAAATTGTCGATGCGGTCAATCGCAGAAATTTGTTGGTCATTAAAAAGAAGAACAAGTGCATCGCTGCTAGTAACACGTGCATTACTACTAGTAACAAGAAGCTACTAGTAACAACTTCGATTCTCAGAGTTTTCTCGAGAAGCAGCGAAGCACAGCGAAGCATTTGGAATGAAGCATGCCGAAAGGGTGCAGGTTGGAGTGTCTAGGCCGTAGATGTCTGATCTCAAGCTTTCAAAATAGCAAAGCAACAGGCTTGTGCACTAACACGTGTCAGACATTTCTTAGATGAAGAGAACCTAGTGACAAGGTATTTTGAAGCTCGGTTATTCTCGAGTAGCCGACCGGGGTCATTTGATTTGTCTCAGGCCTTTTTGAGCTTTTTGATTCTTCGCTGGTTGCTTGATTTCTCAAATGCAGCACCGACAGGCTTCCAGCAGCTAACATTTCAATGGTGCTTAGCTCAAATTTTCTTGAAGATCTTTGCAAAGCAATCTGCATATGATGAGCATCCATTCAAGACAGAATTGAACCATCCACAGTAAGGCATCTGAATCACCGGAGCCACAGGAGGTGCAAAATGGGTTGCTTTTCATAGTGCCACGTCCTACACAAAACTTCTCATTGCCAGGATTGGGTCGCAAAAAACTTTGCCTTTTCTGTGAGCCAGGAGCAGCCTGTTACCCACGAGCCATTTGTGCTCAAGATCTTGGCAACTGTGCAGGTTCTTGCAGCTTGTGTTAGAACAGTTTGTGAAAAGCAATCGGACAGTTTGGGAGGTCCATCGAAACCTCAATGGTCTTCGTCACAATGATCATTTGAGGCTGAGCTTCTCACTCTGTGTACTGCAGGTGGGTTTGTAGATTTGCAGGTATCGTCAGTATTGCAGCCGACGCCTTCGCCGTCTCTACTTTGCTCTACGCTTCAAGCATGGCAAGAATCGCTTCAAACAGGCCAGGATGTTCTTCTTCCAGCAGTACCTGCATAGGAAGATAGCACCAACATTTAGGCCAGTCTTGTGTGTTTGTGGTTTAAGTTGAAATTGCTAGGCGAGCTTTCCCGAGAATTTTGATGACCCCAAATGGATATTCATTCCGCTGGTCCAAACTGAACGAGCCTGGGCATTTGGAGCTTGAGACTCAGCCCTACCCAACAGGATCGAAATTCGTGAGACTGCTTTTGGACTTTTCCTGTCCAAAAAGTAATCGATCACTCTTTTCCAACATTCTTTTCAATTTAGGTCCAGTTGAAGGCAGACAATGCAGCGGCAGCAGCACGGAGACCAAGTGCGATAGGGTGAAGCAGCTTCTATGCAAGGCTTTTTTCCTAGTTCCATGGCGGAGCCTTTTCATGTGAAGGAGGCAGTTCTTTTCTTTCTTGGCAAAACACTGAAGAGAGACTTACAAGGCCTTCAACGCTCGTTGGAGACACCATTCTGAGCGCAAGCAAGCACCCAAGGAGAACAGAATTATCTCGCCCACTCCTGACGTGTCTGAACATTGTTTGTTCAAAGGTTTGCGAAGGCATGCCAATATGCACAGCATTTGGAGTCAGCGTCGGCCTTGAAGATCCGATTGCCCAGCAGGTCTACCGACGGCCGAGTCTTACAGTTTGGTAATCAGACCTTGTCAGACCTTACTAGTAACAAAGGGCATCGCTACTAGGAACAAGAACGCTACTAGGGGCTCCTGGCCTTACTACTAGAGCAAGGACGCTACTAGTAACAAAGGGCATCGCTACTAGGAACAAG